GATTGTGGTCCTCAATCGTCTTGTGCGCACTCTGAGGGGGAGGGGTCTGGGGACCAAGACACCGCCCACTTAGAGCCTAGGGAGCACGCTGTTGAGTTATAGTATTCAGAATGGCCTGAAGAGGAGGAGGACCCGTGGGCTGAAGAGTCTAGTTTTGTCCCCAGGAACCCTCTAGGCCCTTTAGGCACTCCAAGTTTTGGGAATTCGTCGAGCTCTGAACTTGTCAAGTCTGGGGCCTGGGAGTCTGGGGGAGATCCGTCTGGGGTAGTCGAGGGCGTGGGGGTGGTGCTGCCGAACTCGGCCGCTGCTCCGACCTTTGGCTCATCTCAGGCGCAGACCCTGGATTCCCAGCGCGTTGGAGACCTGCCCTCGGACCCTGACGTGGAAGTCTCTGGAGGAGCCCCGACTCATGCAATACCTCCAGAATTGCGGGAGCGGTGTCGGAGAGAAGTCGGGTTTACGCCTGGCGCGTTCTCGCTTCAGTCCCTTGCTCCTGCTCTGCGTCAGTCCGTAGCTGTTCGGCTCGAGCCAGATCTTGTTTCCACTATTTCAGGCCACTACGCCTCCTGGGTGTCTGCTGTCGAATCCAGCATCTCTGCGCATCATGGAGTTGCGATTCCATCAGGCCCACGTCGAGCAGAGGGGCCGCGTTTCAAGGTGACCACCGTCAGGATGCCTGGCAAAGTGCGAGTGGCGGCGCTTCGAGACCAGGTCAGCGCATGGTGGACGCAATTACACTCACTTCTTTCAGGGCTACACTTGCATCGAGACAAGCGTAACGGACCACGGCAGGTTGCTCAATATACGGCTGTCTGTGTACGACATCTAGACACTCGGCCAGATGAAGCACGGCGAGTTCTGCTAGCTGAGCGTGACCCACCGTGGGAGGAATGGGCTCGGGTCATTCGCGCTGCAGGCGAGGTGGCCGCCAGGGAGCTGGAGCAGTGCGTATTTCTGTCCAAGCGCGTCATGGGCAGAGCGCAGCGGCGTGCAGTCCAGGAGTCCATTCGCGATTTCAGAGATTTTATGGGCACAGCTGAGTCTGTAGGCACGCTGCATCGTTCCTTGGACCCACAGAATCTACCAGCACAAGAGCTAGAACACGAGGGGGAGGTACTCTACCACCCCAAGGACATTACCGACGTCAAAGCTCGAGGCTGCCACGATCTGTGGGCACCTCATCAGATGGACGAGGAACTTGCGCAGCATACTTTTCAGCAGGTACGAGAGGCAGCTCAGGACGATGTGCCGCCGCCCATCTCGGTTGAGGACATCAGGGCAGCCTTGCGGCAGATGCGGCCCCGAGCGGGGCTTGGCGTCGACATGCTCTCCCCTGGGGACTTCGAGCGTCTTCCTGATCCGGCTCTTGCCGAGTTGGCGCTGCTGTTCGAGGCCTGCGAGTACCACCTCGTCTGGCCCGCCCAGGTCCTCCTGATCGTTGGGCGCATGCTGCCCAAGAAGAGCACGGGCGACCGCATCATCGGGCACGTCTCAATGATAGGCAGATTATGGAGTTTGATCCGTGAGCCGTTGGTACGCCAGTGGAGCAGCGACACGGAGGCGTCCTGGGACGCTGCAGTGCGAGGGAATTCCAGTTTGAGGGAAGCATTTGCGAGGGCCCTCCAGCAGGAAGTGCCGCATCATTTGAGCACTGCTGTCGGAGAGGGCCTTGTTGACATTGAGTCGTTCTACGACTCCATTGAGTGGCCAGGGCTGGTGTTGTGCTCCCTCAACCTGTCCTTCCCACCGACGATCGTCTACCTCGAACTGCTGCAGTGCGCGGCAGCGCGCGCGGTGGGCCAGCTCGGGGCCACATCGCGGGCTTTCCAGCCGACGCGAAGTGTGGTTCAGGGCCTCCGCTCAGGCACGAGATTCGGCAAGGCCATGACCCACTACGTGCTGTCAGCCATTACAGTCGCTCACCCCAGGGTGAGCCATCGGATTTGGATCGATGGTCTTTCACAAGGGACAAGAGGGTCGAGGTCAGCAGTTAGGAGGCAGCTCGCGTCGTGCATCATCGAGACCTGTCAAGAGCTACAGGCCAGGCAACTTGCTGTCTCCCCGAAGTCCGTTGTCATGTGCTCACACTGTCAGGACGCCAAGTGGATCGCTGCACGGGTCAAGAGGGCAGGGTTTACCATCCTTCCCAAGCTTCAGGCAGCGCACCTGGGCGTCGACGTCGCTGGTGGGAGCAGACGCGGGCGCTCGACCCGAGTCGTCCGCGAGGCCAAGCACAAGCGCATGAATGCCAAGGTGCGACGATTCGCCTGGACGGCCAAGAAGCATCAAACGTGCGGGCGCCTTGAACGACAGGGCGCCCAAGCTGCTGGAGTGCATGGACACCAAGTCTACGGCATCTTCGGCAGCAAGATGACGGATATCCGACGACGATTGGGTTTTCTCTGGCGGCCCCCACGGGGGGGCGATGTCTGACCAGCCTGCTCGCCCTACGAGCTGGCGATGCAGACCCCGCCATCCAGATGCCCGCGGCCTGCTTGGACCAGTGGCTCACTACATGGCGTGACCGACCCGAGCTCAGACCTGGAGTTCGGCAAGCATGGCGCCAAGTTGTGCAGCACCTTCGGTCTATCCCAGAAGTCCAACGCCCCCGCCATGCACGGGGGCCTCTCACAGCTGTGGTGCTACACCTTCTGGAGGCTGGCTGGGGTGTGGATGAGCCTACGGCCTGGACCATACCACCGCCCCATGAGGCAGCGGGCGACGACTGGAGGTTCGACGATGCCATGTACACGGGCGACAAAGCCCTTGACTCGCACAGTGCCTTCCTTGAGGACTTCCGCGCCTCGCTCAGGCACCAGCTGTGGGTCAAGGCCAGCCGCCGTTTATGCGGAGCAGGCCTCGAACGCGGAGTGGATGTTGCCTCGAACCGCGTGCTTCTGCAGCAACTGGCAGCTGTACCTGAGTATGGGCGTCGTCTGTCAGAGACCATGCTAACTTGTGCCACAGGAGCTTCTTGGCCGATGCAGCGGCGCAAAGATGAGATTGCTAGATTCGACGGCAACGTGTTGTGCCCACGATGCGGCATGGAGCCAGAGACGGCCAAGCACCGCATCTGGCTTTGCGAGTGCAGCCAAGGGAAGGCTGCATACGATGATTCACATGATCTGCTACCTCAGGCTCTAGCGCAGATGGACATGGACGAGGGGTTCTGGCTCAGGGGCATGCTTCCCGCGGCCTGGGCGGCAGCGCCCCCGCCGCAGGCTGCCGAATGCTGGGCCCCTGCGGGATTCAATGCAGTCTCTGCAGGGTGCTGGGGTGAAGGCTCCATCAGCAGCCCTCTCCTCATCAGTGGCGACGCTAGTGGAGGGCCCGACAGTAGCAGCAACTTGTTTCGCCGCGTCGGCGTAGCCGTGGCCCTTTTTGCCTCGCTTGAGCCCTGCGTGGAGCTAATCGGCACGGTGCGTGGCCCCCTGTGTGGCCCTCGCCAAGTCGTGGCGAGGGGGGAGCTTCGGGCCTTAGTGCTCGCGGTCTGGCTCACCAGAGGTTCCATTCTGTTCATTTCAGATTGCGAGCCAGTTGTCAAAGGCTGGTTTGCGGGCCACTATGATCGGCCCCAAGGCGACGATAAGGATTTGCGGGCGCAGTTAGGCCAGCTTCTCAAAGAGCGAGCAGGCGGAGCGGCGTCGATCACTGTTGATTTTACCCACGCCCATCTCACAGCCCAAGATATTGTGAGGGGGGTGGCGCCGAGATGGAAGGTCACCAGCAACGCTGTGGTAGACGAGGTTGCTGGTCTCGCGGCAGAGGAGGCGCGGGTCCCGCAGGAAGTGCGATCAACTGTTCTGTTGCACGAGCGCAGGGCTCGACTTGTGCGCATGCGGATTTTGCGGGCCACCTTGGACGCCTGCGACGCCGAAGCGGAAAACAGAGTTGAGCCTCGTGGAAAAAAGGTCGCCCCTGCCCCTTCGCCCCCCTCTGCTGCTTCTCTCTCCCTCTTCTCCACCGACCACTGACTTGATAAGACAGGGCGCAGGTGTACTCGTTGTGGAGGTTCGGCCACAAAGGCACGGACCACTCTCTGGCGTCAGTCACCGTGTTTCGAGCCACTGAATTATAACGGAGTGATTTTCAACAAACCCCCCCAGGCCCAGTTGCATATAGCGGGGGGCTTGGTTGATTCCTCTCATCGGACGCAGTGGCACAGTGGATTGAATTTGTGGTATTGTGGCAGATGTGGATGCTATGGGCATCAATTGCTGGACGGGCTTGGCCGTCCTTGTCAGCGTCCCACTGCTAACAGGCTTGAATACCTTTCCAGGATTTCTCGTGGGCTCTGGCCAAAGGTTCTGAGCAAGACGGAGAAGGCCACCCGACGCGGAGGAGCGTCTCGAGGGTAGGCCCTTTTATCGCATTGCATGTAGCATGTCATTATTGTCATTGCTTGCTATCCTGACTTTGTCATGTATCCAGTTCCAGTTCCAGCTCCTCCTCCTCCTCCTCCTAGCAGAGCAGGCAAGCACGGGAAGTTGGGGACACCGAGCCAGGCAACGCAGCTTTGGTCCGAGGATGGTGTGGGCTGTCTCTGGCTCCCTGTGGCTGGTGTTGCCGAAGGTCCGCAGGAGACACCTGTACAGCACCACCGTGTCTGGCCAGGGCCATCCTGGACCCTAGGATTGTGCATATCCGCGGACGACCTGTGTGCACCATACGGCGCTTGCGCCTCCCAAGGCGTCGTCGATCCTCGTCCGAGGAAAGGTACGATGCGTAGTGTTTCAGCCTTCGGAGGCGAAAGACTGTGCACTGCACCGCGGCGGAGCGTGGAATGAAGGGAGTTCAGACATAACGTGGTGCACGTGCGCCGTTCTCGTAGCAGTGACTGTCGGGGGCCTCGGCCACGAGGATGTGTGCACCGCGCCAAGACTCGCGATAGCCTCGGCCAGGCATGGAGGTGGTCTGGGGATACACTACGCTGAAACAGGGACCGCGCTGGGCTCCGGAAGGGCTACGGTTGTTGAGCCGTTCCTTAGATCTAGGTTTGG